GCGTTTGCAAATTTTTGCTTCCGTTCACGAACTCCGCATTGGTTGATGAACACAAACCGTGGCCATCTTCCCTGTTCTGACACATGGTCGTGGCTTCTTCTAGGTGAGATCGCGGTCGCAGACAGACACTTGCTGTGAAGCTTTTTGGCGTTGCCTCAAGCAAGGTTAGTGTCTTCATACTGTACTCTACTGTACTTTGTTTCATATTTTTGTGGTTAAAAAAAAATACATATGGTTCAGAACGGTTTAACCTTATTTACATTGAACCTTATGGGAAAATTTGATTCGGTTGGCAACCAATTCGGTTGGTGACCACGTTCATAGGGGTCAGAACGGATTAACCTTATTTACATTGAACCTTATGGGAAAATTTGATTCGGTTGGCAACCAATTCGGTTGGTGACCACGTTCATAGGGGTCAGAACGGATTAACCTTATTTACATTGAACCTTATGGGAAAATTTGATTCGGTTGGCAACCAATTCGGTTGGTGACCACGTTCATAGGGGTCAGAACGGATTAACCTTATTTACATTGAACCTTATGGGGAAATTTGATTCAGTTCACAACCAATTCGGCTTGCGACCAGAATCGTGGAACGAATTAAGCTCGCGAACTGAGGTACCACTGTACTTTGTCTTTGTGTAATCTGATATTGTAATAAAGCATACATACTTTTAAGTAGCATGTTATTGTCAAGAAAATATGTTGGAGCTTCCATCAGCGTTAGAAATGCAATGTTGACCTCTGGAAATATGTTTCATAGGCCTTAGATAATACTATTACCATTGATTTTATGTTTCCCAGCATAGGATGAGATCATATCGTACTCAAAAGAAGTGGGCCTGCACAACTGGTGGCTTCCTATGCCCAATGAACAATAATATTAGAGGGTGATATACCATTAATAGACATCACTGTCCTGGAGATATGGGGTTATTGTTTAGAGTGGTCAAAACATGTTCTGAAGTGTGTACCTCTAGTTCCATATTCATTTCTATATACAGTGAGTATCATTTGCATGAGAACCACATTTAAAAATGTCTTACTCCCCAACAGGCTAGATGAGATACTCCAGCTTTATAGATTCTACTCTTCTGAACGCTTGCAGGTATTTATTTGGGGGGGGGGGGGACTAAAGTTTTTTTAGATGCCACATGTCAGCTTCTTATTAAATCATACCTATTTGACTGTTACAGCCAAGGGTCAGATGACTGACACTGCATTTCATATTTTTAACCCAAAGTGCAGCATTTCAAGCTTTAACTATTTTGCTGCAAGCAAGATTTCTACTCAGTTTTGGAGTATAAAAAGGTTATGTAAAGAGCTACATTTTCCTATTGACTATAATAGCATAGAGGCATTAACAACTAATATTCCAAATAGTTTATCATATTCCCTAGAAATTCATATGTACCATTGAGCATATGTCTCCACATATGCAGACATAAGCAATGCAGGGAAAGTAAATAGAAATATACAGATCGTTAACATGGACACATACATGCTTAAAAGAATCTTAATGGTTTTTCCAGAAAGAGAAAGGCAGGAAATGCTTTAACAATGTGAATGGATATCAAAGTGACAATGGGGGAAAGAAGCAAGATGAGTTGTATTTAAATAAAAATAATCCCCAAACACAATAAACCTAGCAGCACAGACATGTGCATTTCCTATAGTATTAAAGCAGGTGAACTACTGAGCTGCAGCAACCCAGATACAGAAGAAGCGCTAAAAGGTCCAGAAGGAAGGAAACTCAAAGTTGAGAGAGACAGAGAGACAGAGAGAGACAGAGAGAGACAGAGAGACAGAGAGAGAATACAAAAGTGAGAGAAGAAATGTAAAGGCAAGAGGGAGGGGGGAAAAAACCAATAGAATGACACTAAAAAGAATACAAAGATGAGAAAAAAAGAGAAAATAGAAAGAAGAGAAAAGGAATAGGAAAAAAGAGGGCAGAAAGAAAAGTGCCCTCAGCTACCAAAACAATTGTGTGCATCTAGAGGGTCAGGATTCTTAAAGATGCAGTATTCCTCTTAAAAATAAACCGAAAGTGAGAGAAAAATTAAGACATTGAGCAGACACCATTTCAAGGATCAAATTCAGTAACCCAAGGAGATAATATTGCAATGGGGTTATCTTTGTTACATTAATCTTTATTATCCCTGTAATTCCTTAGCTTACTTTTGTTGTTGTTGTTCCCTTAACAATTCTTTCAACAGGCTGCACAAAATCAAAAAGGTTAAAAACAACAACACACATTTGATTTGCTCTTATGCTCTTCATTAGGTTGCAGCCCCTGGATGATCTTGTTGGGCCTCTGGAGCTAAGCAGGATTGGCTGGTCAGTACTTGGGTAGAAGACCAATGGAAATCCCAAAGCTGTAGTCTAGCCTGGGTAGTTGATAAACAAGGCTATGGCAAGACACTTCTGTATCTGTGGCCAAGAAAACTGCTTGGATGTGTCTACAAAGTCTCCAGAAGTCAAGATATACTTGAAGGACACCAATCCTTTTCTGCTTTTAAAAAGAAGGATTCTTACTTTTTGGCTTTTTCTTTTCATTTGTCATTAAGAAAACTGTGTAGTTTATTTTAAGACATATCAACAATCCTTATAAAGTAGGTCCTCTCTCCACTATTTGAGACTCAATGATTACAAGAAATGGTATTGGAAGCTTATCAGTGTTTTGGACAACAAAGAGATGTTGGTAGGGACCTGTTTTAGGGAAGTGGTAAATCTGCTAATGTTGGAGTCTTTCCAAGAAAAAGTACTTACTATTCTTGAAAAGGGGGTTCCTGATTAATACAATGAAAGATTTTACAGCAAGGCGGGGGGGGGAATAACCACAAGGGTGGTGGGTTAGCACTGTGATCTGTCTGGCAAGAATTCTGAGCGTATGGTTAGGTTTTCAGAATCCTATTGTACTACAGTCACTCCAGCTGAAATTTTCATCAAGTATCTGACTCTTGTGCTTAGGAATTCTCTGATGAATATCACATAAAATAGCAGCTCATTATTTCTCCCCAGCTTATGAACTGTTTATGAGTTCTTGGCAGTAATCCTTCTTTCCTCATAAAATAGAGTGCCTTGTTTGTTGCCAAAATCAGACCATCCCATCTGCTGAGAGGCAAAGTTCCTCTCTCCACTTCTTTAAAATGGGAAGCTGCTAGATCTTTCAAAAGGTTTATGTAATGGGCCTATAAAGAATTTCAGGGCTTAAAGTGAGCTAGGACTCCCACAGATTCATTTCAGGAGACTATTTTCAATATTAGATTTAGTACATTATGTCAGAACGTCTCCAAATTTTGCCCCTACAATGTATAAAATAACAATGCTAATACAATTCTCAGGTCAGCCATAAACATTACCAAAAACACCATAAGGCCATTTAAACATTCCAAAGAAGCATATAATGCTTGTTGGTGGTGGTAGAGCATATTGATTATTTTGGCCTTCAAATATAGTGGAAATATTATCTCTTTCTCCCTGTGCAGGGAGGTTGAGACTGCACATAGTAAGCTTAAGAGCTTCTGTGTCAGAAGTGTTAATTGCAAGACAGGATTGAGCATCAGTATCACTCCTGTAACAGATTATGAAAGTGTAGTTTAAAAACATTTCTAGGTTAAAAAAAATAGGGGTGAAATATACAAATACTGCTTGTTCATCTCAACAGGATTTGGACTGTATCTATGTCCTATATTCAGAAGGCAGACTTGAAAGGACAGAGGCTTACTTAGAACCTTCTCAGACTATGGAGAAAGTTCTTGAGACAATTGGAACAGGGTAAAGTCAGAGCATGATTTTATGACACATTAATTGGATCCCCTATCTGGGTTAAATTATGCATAGTTTTTATAATATTAATGCTGGAAGCATTCCTTAATGTAACTGAAAGGCCCTAAAAATATAAACAATTAAAAAAATTATAATGAAATCTTCAGTAGTCGAGGGAGGAAAAAATGGGTTGCTGCAAGATGTCATATATTTGCTGAAATCCTGCATGTTACATATATTATTAAATCTGTTTTCCAATAAAGAATCTCTCCCTGTTTGAAACAGCAGAATGTGGAATCACCCCAAACTAAAGCAGTCTGTGGAAGAAAAGGACCAATTAACCATCATTATCTGACACAAAGCCTGATCTTCAAAGTTCAAAGCTTATTCTTAAACAGCAAGGAGATGAACTAACATGTTCTCTGAATCACTTACATGAGAATCAGAACACATTGGCTGTTGGTTAAATGGTTCACTAGGGCCAAATTTGACTCTAATTGCCAATTGCCAATTTGCAGGGAAGAAGAACAGTGACAGAAGTATCAAGGGTGCTTGGTGGAATGGAGGAAGCTAGGCTCACAAGCTCATCTTGCCCCAACTGCGACAAGCGACTCAGTCATTAAATGAAGCAGTTGCTAAGTGAAACTGCAACTGTGCTTATGATCTTACTTCAGCTTTCCTTTGCTTTACAGACCTCTGAAAATCATAAATGCAAGGATTGGGTGCAAAGCTACTTTTTCATCACTGTTGTAACTGCGAATGGTCTCTGTATGAGGCAGTTGCTAATCAAGGACTACCTGTACTGTCCTCGTCATTAAATGAAGCAGTTGCTAAGTGAAACTGCAACTGTGCTTATGATCTTACTTCAGCTTTCCTTTGCTTTACAGACCTCTGAAAATCATAAATGCAAGGATTGGGTGCAAAGCTACTTTTTCATCACTGTTGTAACTGCGAATGGTCTCTGTATGAGGCAGTTGCTAATCAAGGACTACCTGTACTGTCCTCTTTTGCATGTGGTTCTGACAGCCCAGGCATAAACCATGTAAAAATATCTGAAGACTGCTAGGCCGAAAGGTATGCTATAATGTGAAGGAGAATTAATCACTGGCTAGGATTCTTTCACTCTAAAGAATGCAATCAAATGTATCCCCAGCAGAAAAGGTAAGTACTGCATCTTTAAGGAACAGAAGTGAGGTAAAGGAGAGGAACAGATTGTTGGTGTTTTATACCTTTCTTCTTTGCTGAATGTGGGATTGGCTTCACAGATATCCAGGCTTTTACTGAACATTGTTTTACTATGGCAGGAACAAAGTGAGAAAAAAGAGTTACTGATGCGGACATTCATATGAGATTCACCTGACGCACTCCCACCCACCCAAAGTTACCCCCCTCCCTTCAAAAAAAAATCTGGAACTGAGAGCTACATTCCTTCCCCGGTTCTATCTGATACTGGAAGATTTTAAGAGCTCCTTGAATAGAGGGATATAGCAGCCAAATTACTGGGGAGGCTGAATTTTTCCAATGAAGGAATAAACTTTAAATTTCTAGAAATCCTGGTGATGTGAGATGAGGGTCATTGCATACAAACCATTCTTGTACCTGGCCTCTCCAAACATCAGTTACCACAGAAGTGCTGGCTCAAACCTGAACCATATTTGTCAGAGACATGGTGGTGAGATATGCCAATTTTCGGGGAAGCTACTCTACTGAACAAGATCTGAAGAATGCAGATCCAGTTTTGCCATTCAAAGTAGCCTCTTCGGCACATAACTTGTTCCCGCTAATTCTTTCACTTGCTCACATTAGTCAGCAAAGAAAAGCCATAAGAAGCAATATTTCAAGCCCTCACAAAATGGCAGGCCTGAACCCTACAGATGGGTCAGCTGGAGAAGAACAGATCCTAATATCAGGTAGCTGTCATTTCAATCATCAGTGTAAAGAAGTTGGGAAGAACAGAATGTCAGTTTGTTGATGGAAGCATTTTCTTTTCCTTTCAGTTCATAATGTACCTCAGCACTAGTGTATTTTGTTTGATCTAACATAAAGCCTTGAGCCTTTGACAGCAATCTTTGGGCTGAAAAAAATTCTGTGACAGGAAAATGCACCATGAAAGTAGCAGCTGCGATGGCATTAATGTATCATGGGGGAAATGAAAAGCTGAGTTTAGATTATGGAACAAGAACAACTGAAAGTACCAAAGTCCTCACAAGAGAAGGAATAAAAGGAAATGAAATTTACAGTAAGTAAAACAGCAAATGGAGGAAGCAGGATTATCAACAGAAAAAAGTTGAACACCAAGTTGACTTCAAGGCATTCATCTTGTTCACAGGCAACCTCCCTGGGTATCATGAATAGAAAGGGAAGAGGCACGGAATGTATGAACTGCCAGATATATTAGAAGTGCTGAAAGAAGGTATCAGTAATATTTTCTCCTCACAGGACACTTGGGATGGCAACTGCCTAAACCAA